GGAAGCGAGACAGGCGCAGGAGCCAAGCAGACACGGCCATTGCTATTCAATTCACGCGCCTAGATATGAAACGGGTGGCGACGCCTCGCTTGTGAACGCTTCATTTGTGCTTGGAAGACGCGAGGGTTGAGATGACGTGGCTTAGGAAATTGGTGGGGCTCTTATGATGATGGGGCCTCACGAAATCATATAGAAATGTGGTAGTGGTGTTTTGTTTTATAAAAGTATATGATTGCACTCGGATGGAGTACTACTAGTAGGAGGTAGACATTGCACGCGTGACCGGTCGCACGTTTCAGGATCGCACGACCCTCGTTTTCCTCCTTCCTTGCGCCTTATCTGCCCCACCCCGCCTTTCATCCCCGCTGTCCTCAGTCAGTGGCTCACTGGTCGCCGCTCGCGCCACGCACTGCCCGCCGCCGGTCCCCACTGCTCCACTCCCTCTCCTAACTTTGACCGGAGTTCAACCGCACTGGCCCGCTCCCTCCCCTAGCCTTCACCGCCACCCCCCGCCAGCGGCTCCCTCGCCGCCGGCCGCACTGTCCACCGCCCACTGCCGTCGCTCCACCCTGCCCTCCCTAACCTCGACCAAAGTCTTCGCCGCACTAGCGCACTCCCTCCCCGACCTCTACTGCCTATCTTAGGGCCAAGTCCACTGGATATGAGGGTATGGGCTGCAGGTTTGTTGTCTTCAGAAGTGTCTCCACACTCTATGACCTGGCTAGACTGTGGACCCTCAGTTTTTTACCACCACACATTTATCTATCTATCCGTCAGCTGTATCCGTCGTGGCATTGGTTTATTCCAACCAGCTACCCTACACTTTTTTTTAATCACCGTGTGAGGCTGTCTGTGAAAAAACCTAAGGTCCTGTTTGAGAAGGCTCCTCTCCAGTCTTGGCTTCTGCTCTGCAGAGGAGTTCTGTCAAACGTTTTATTAGAGGAGACATTTTTCATTAAAAAATATGAAATGGCTCCGGCTCCTCCGTAGGCCGAACACACCCTAACACGCACATGGTCGGAGACGTGAAGGAGATGCCGCAGCGCTGACGAGGGTATGCATGGTGTAGCCACCAGGCACCAGGACAGGTCCACTGTATATGGCCCAAAGCCTCAAGCCCAATAAACGAAGAAGAGGTCCAAGTAAATCCAGCGCTCTCCTCGCTCAGTCAGTCGCCCGACTTCCCGTTGCCGTCTCGCTCTCGCTTGTGCTCCCCGCCTCCGCACGCCGCAGCCCCGCACTCCGCCGTCCGCGCTGGCGTCCAGAGCCACGTCGAGGGTCCTCTTTGCTGGGGTCGGCGCCTTCCATGCTCCGACACTCCAGCCGTGCTAGGGTTTCGGCCGTGTCGATTCTCCGTATTCTCCGTCTCCGGCCGCTGCGCATCGATCGGTTTGTTCGTTTCCGGAGGCCCCTTTACGACGCCTCCCTCATCTCTGTCTTATCCGGTGGTGAGCACTGATTATTGAACTGAGATACAAATACTTAGGGGGTGTTTGGTTTTAGGATAGTCCCTGTCACATCGGATGTTTGGACACTAATTTGGAGTATTAAATATATTTTAATTACAAAACTAATTACATAGATGGAGGCTAATTTACGAGACGAATCTATTAAGCCTAATTAGTGCATGATTTGACAATGTGGTGCTACAGTAAATATACTCTAATGATGGATTAATTAGGCTTAATAGATTCGTCTCGTAAATTAGTCTCTATCTGTGTAATTAGTTTTGTAATTAGAATATATTTAGTACTCCAAATTAATGTACAAACATCCGATGTGACAGGGACTAAAAAAATTAGTCCCTAGAACCAAACACCCCCTTATTTGCCATTGGCTGCCATTTTAGACCAAAGGCATTGGCCCAGCTTATATTGAAAGCACATAACGGTAGCTGCTGGGGATACCAGCTTACAGTTTAGCAATTTCAACAACAAAGTTTAAGAAAGATAAGCAAAAGAACGCTATTACAAGAATGACCCAGACAAAAGATGCGTAGACAAAAGACTGCCTCCTGATAACCTACGACTTGGTCTCTGATCAGCAGACACAACACCTCTAGAGAAGCCTGGGATCCATATCCCCCGCAGCCATCCTGTTCCTGATGCTGCCATCTTCAGGTCATCAGCTTCACCACGCCTTCAGACCCTCCTGTAGCTTCAGTATAGTATCCTCCATCTTCAACACCCCTTCCGGCTTCAACATCTTCTTCCACTGTGATAAGAAACCCAAAACTTTGTAAGCGATTGCTTTAGGAGTTTTGATTAGATGGTTATTGAAAACCCAGTCATTCCTGGTCTTCCATAGACTCCAGGATACGCCTGCTAACAAGAAGAAAGCTATAAAAATGTCCTTATGCCCCAGCCCAACTCTCATCTTATCCTCATAGTCTTGAATTGAGATGGCTCTTTCAGTCCACCTCATACTAATCCTGACCCACACCCACAAGATCTGTGCTATGTTGCAGTTAAAGAACAGGTGGTTCCTGGTTTCAATTTTCCCACAGTACTTGCACTTTTCAGAACCTTTGCCTTTTTCTGATTTTCAATTGTTCACTAGTGAGCACTCTATCATGCCAGAGCATCCAAAGAAAGATCTTGATCTTGAGGGGTAAATTTACTTTCCACAGCTGTCATTCTCAGATCAACATTGCCACTGTGTTTCATAAATCTGTACAGAGATTTGGTGGAGAATTTGCCTGAAGGTTCCAGAGCCCAAATTACAGTGTCATCCTCTTCTGAAAAGACTAATAACTCTAATTCCTCCTGCAGTTCATTCCACTCTGCAACCTCATCAATACCCAGTCTCCTTCTCAGATCTAAATTCCATTCCACCTCTTTTAACTCCATAACTGACCAGTCCTGCTGTCGGCTAATCCTATACAGCTTAGGGAATCTCAACTTAAGAGGGCAAGTCCCTAACCACACATCATGCCAAAACCTGATTCTCTTTCCATTGCCTAGTTTCCATCTTGTCCCTCTTTCATACCATTCCCTGGCTTTCCCCAAACCTTGCCAAAACTGAGAAGCACCTCTTTGATTGGTTTGGCAGAAGCTTCTACCTCTTAGGTATTTTTTCCTGAGCACATCAAGGGCCATACTGTTTTCACCCTCTATCTAATTTGAAAATCCACTTGGCCAACAGCACAGTATTCATGATTCTTGTATCTATAAAACCAAGGCCTCCAAATTCTTTGGGAACTGCCAGAGCTTCCCATTTAATCATATGGTACTTTTTCTTGTTGCCAACTCCTTCCCAGAAGAATCTGCCTCTACCAGTGTCAAACCTCTTGTGGGTACCCTCATGCAACCAATAAAACCCCATTGAATACATGGGGATACTAGATAGGCTAGAGTTTATGAGAATGGATCTGCCTCCATGAGATAACTGGTTACATTTCCAAGTTTCTAGTCTCTTTTCAACCTTATTTGCAGAAACACTAAGCTCCTCTTTGGACAACCTCTTGTAGCTTAATGGGAGACCCAGATATTTCATAGGAAAGTGTCCACGCTTACAGTTGAAAGAATTGGCTATCTCCTCTGCTTCCACCTCATTAATGCCCAAAGTGAACACCTCAGACTTGTTATAGTTTATTTTCATGCCTGACACCTCCTCATAACAGATTAGCAAAAATTTAAGAGTAGCAATATTCTGCTTACTGTTTTCAATGAGAAGAACAGTGTCATCAGCATATTGTAAATGTGTCAGGCCCCCATCAATTAAGTGTGGAGTTACCCCAACAAAAAGTCCACTGTCAGTTGCCTTTTTCAACATGGTAGATAACCCATCAGCAACTAAATTGAAGAGGAGAGGGGATAGGGGTCCCCTTGTCTCAAACCATTGTAACTCCTAAAGTACTGACCCAATTCACCATTGAGATTAACTGCAACTCTGCCTCCACACACTGTTCTCATTATCCAATCTGTCCACCTCTCACAGAAGCCCTTCCTATGCATCACCTCTTGAAGAAAATGCCAGCTCACCTTGTCATAGGCTTTCTCAAAATCTAGTTTTAGAATTATCCCACTCTGTTTCTGCCTTACAATTTCATGCATCACCTCATGAATAACCACTACCCCATCTAATACGTATCTCCCTGGGATGAAAGCTGTTTGGTTTGGGCTGATGAGTTTGTCAATAATTTTATTGAGTCTAAGAGTCAAAGTCTTAGTGACAATCTTGTAAACTACATTAAGGAGGCAAATAGGTCTAAACTGTCTGATATTGGTAGCTCCTTTAACTTTGGGAATCAAGGTGAGGATGCCATAGTTCAGCCTAGAAAGATCCAGATGTCCACCTCTTAGGTCTTGTAGAATTTCCAAAAGTGTCCCCTTGAGCTCACCCCAGAAATATTTGAAAAAGACAGCCGAAAATCCATCTGGTCCAGGGGCAGACCCATCTCTCATCCCTTTCACCACCACCTCAAGTTCTTCAATGGTAAAAGGCTTGGTCAATTCCTCATTTTCCTCTTCACTTACTTTGGACTCTAAACCCCAAAAATCATGCTTTAGACTAAATCTGGACCGTGGTTCACTTCCAAACAAACCTTTGTAAAAGTTAGTAATATGTTCTTGTAGAGCTTTAGTTTCAGTGATGATTAGTCCATCTTCTTCCAATGACCTGATAAAGGTCTTACGTTTCCTTCCATTGGCAATACCATGGAAATAAGCCGTGTTAGCATCACCCTCCAGTAACCATCTCTCCCCACCTCTTGATTGCCACATGAGCTCTTCTTGACTGTATATCTCTATCAGTTCATTCTCCCATCTGTATCTCTGTTCCCATTCAGACTCCACCAATCCCTTGTCTTCATTTTTTTGGTCTAACTTCATTATACAGAGCAACAGATCCTGCTTCCTCTTCTTCAAATCACTACCCCAGTTCCCATTCCAACCTCTTAGGCTGCTCCTGAGTTTAGATGAGATCTTTTGCCATTTATCAATACCATGAGCATTCTGAAATTCTGGCCATTTAGATAAAACCCAGTCTCTGAAACCGTCCTACTTCAGCCATGCAGTCTCAAATCTGAAAATCCTTGATCTTCCACCTCTATTAGAAAACAGATCCACAACCAAGGGATTATGATCTGAACCAATTCTGGTAACAGAGTGAGCACTGGCCAAAGGAAAGTGTGCTTCCATACTCATGTTCATGAAATCCCTATCTAGGACAACCATGATAGGATTGGTCTGTTTGTTTGTCCAAGTGTACTGGCTACCACCTCTATGCATTTCTCTAAGTTCAGTCTCTGCCACAAAATTATTGAAAGCTTCCATCAGGTTGGTGTTTACATTGCCAGAAGATTTCTCTTCAATTCTCCTTACTAGGTTCAAATCACCTCCAACCAGAGTGGGAATATCTTCATCATTGATCAGCACCTCTAACTCATTGAGAAAGGCCTGCTTTTGATTATCTTTAACAGGGCCGTATACACTGATTAGTCTCCATCTGAAATTATCTTCCTTCTGTACCATGGTCATTGCCTGAAAATGATCATTTACCTCTATCTTAATCACCTCTGCAAAATCCTCCTCTATTCCCATTAGCAACCCCCCAGAATGTCCCCTGGCAGGTATCCGCTCCCAAGTAAAAGGCATACCACCTCCAATTGCATTGAGTTCCCTGTTTGTAAAATTTTGTTTTATTGTCTCCTAATGCAAAGGCATCTAATCTGATGGTCTTGAATGTTTTTCTTCAATTGAGCTCTTCTGCCTCTGCTGCCCAACCCCCTAACATTCCAAAATAGTACACTCATTGGGAATATTTTTACCTTTCCTCCTCTGCTCAATGTTCCACACCTCTAAACATTCTGAGTCCGTCACCTCTTCCAATTCAAGTATCATCTTGGAGTGTTCCTCATTGAAATCACCTTCTGAGTCATCCACCTCTAACACTTGCTCTGAAGTTTTTGGCTGTTCTTTAGATTTTTCAGCCTCAGCCAAAGTGGCTTGAGCTAGTTCTTTGGCTTTAATCAGATCAATGGAAGCATCAACATCCTCTACTGTGTCACCCAAATTAATCCCACAGTCTAAAGCTATTTTGCTAAGGACATCTGAATCAATGTTCTGTAAAACAGAGAAAGGATTATTAGATATACCTTGATTATCTGATGCGGCAGCAATGGCGTGGCGTGGCAGCAGCTTGGCGCTGGCGGCGAGAAGCGCTGCAGCAGCAGCAGCGCGTCTTGCCAGCGGAAGGGTGGTTCGCTGCAAAAAAAAAAAAAAAAAAAAAAAAATTCGTGTGTGCCCGGGTGCTAAAACACCAGGGTGTTATATAGCTTTTCCGAAAAAATATGGTCAATTATCTGTCATTACTGAATTGGTGAACTTTAATAACTCTTTTGTGGAACCATGCCATCTCTTTGATCTGACCAATAAACATCACCACTGTTGTCAAACATAGTGCTTTTGATTAATTTCTGTTCGTACACTGAATTTCTTGGCAAATACTAGTATACTTCATATTTTGAATATGGATTATACTGAATTGCATATATGTTAGAATTAGCTAGGACTAGCCTAAAAATCCTGGTTCCATTACTGCCAAACATGCTGTGCCATTTCTAGCACTTTGCAATGGAAACGGTCTCAGGTGGCTTCTCAGCCCCTCTCCATTCAGGAAAGAATTAATTTAGCAGTAAATACATCCAAGTATAAAGTAGCCTTGTTTACTGTCAAAGTGCTCGACTTTTCAACACATCCTACAATTAGGGAGGAAGACTAGAGTGTAGGCAAAGTCGGTAGATGTTGTTGCCTTGTCATTGCAGATGTTGTTGCCTTGTCATTGCAGATTCTGAACATCAATGAAGCACTTCTGGTGGTAGTGTCCTCCATAAAGAACATATAACCTGAGCATATTGATATAGACAAAACATTGAGTAATGAAAACAAAAAAGATTGAACATAGTAAACTTAACTGAAATGGATAGGTCACTGAAATGGAAGCAGTGCTGTTGTAACAAGTTATCGATGTCAACACATTGCTAGAAGCTTTACCTTTATTTATTTCTCTTTTGAGAATCTGGAAATCCAATTCATTCTATTTCCTTCCAACGTATGTGGGCAATCTTTGACCAGCTTTCACCATTAGGACTGCAGCTCTCCTTCAAGAGTTCACAGTCTTCCACTCTTATTCGCCAAATAGAAGTTGGTAGTGCTGGTAAAGACAACAAATTGGGACACAAAGAATTTGAGGCTCTCCAGACAGGAAAGGTCCTTCAAACTTGGCAGGGACTGGATTCCGCAATTCATGAAGCACAGATTCTGGACGGAACTATCAGACCTTTCAAACAAAATGAATGGCTTGTTGCAACATTCAAGCGTGACCTGTGCTGGAATTGCAAAACCTTCTGTCGATAGCATGTCATTGAGCATTATGGAACTGCTATTCTGCTAACAGTGAGTGATTTCTGTACACGACAGTGTGAAATATACTTGGCTGAGAGCTTTGGAACTAGCACCAATGTCAACTCATCAAGTTGTAGGGAAGGTAATCCTTCAAGCATGCACAAATCTGACAAATGACGTAGTTCGAGTGTCTTCAAGGAGGTAAGATGACCAACCGATAAGCGAACAGAGCTTTTGCAGTCATACACAGTCTCACTTGCAAGCATGCAGTTGGATACATCGAGCTCCCCAAGGGACAATGGCATAGATTCGACTCCATGAGCCAATCCCAAAGAAGGACAAGAACTTAGATAAACGCTTAAAAGAGATGCTGCACCATTTATGCCCCCTAATGATCTGATACACCAGCACTCCAAAATAACCAAACTGTGCAGTGTTTTCAAGTGCTGGAAGACTGCTTCTGACGGGAGTGTAGTTAGACTCATAATACCTTGTAATTGTAAACGATTCAGTGAACTGAGGCCTCCAAGGCAAATAGTTAAAGCCCAATCTGTAATACTGCAATTACAAAGACGAAGTTCGCAAAGTGTTGATGGTGGAACAAATTGTGTCCCAAGGCTATTTCTATAGAGGAGTTTTATCCTTTGCTCCTGGCAATGTATCCATGCCTTGATGATATTTTCTTTCACAAATGCTTCATCTCTTCCACCAGCTAGACTGCTTTCAATGACTCGAAGATGTTCTGCTACATCAGTATCCATCAGTGGCATCATCTGCTTCAGATATGAATGCTCTTCCAATATTGTTTTTTTAATTCGAGAACTTGACCCTGAATCCAGTTCCCAGATCAAAGCAAGTCGGGATGCCAGATTATCTGTTTTCATCTGCTTTCCTTTTCGTCATGTTGCTCCAGCTTATCATTGCAAACAAACATAAGCAATGGGCACTCTGCAATTTGGAGAAATTCAAGGTGCCTCAGGAGGCACGGTAGTGTATTCAGATTTGGGACATGTCTAAGTGACAGATGAGAGCAATGCCTGAGGAGCTCTGCATTGGGTGGTAGATATTGTAAAGAACTACAATTGTACAGACAAAATCTATTCAAATTATCAAAGTAGGAACCATTGAGTAACCAGCTTGGATATGCAGAAGATTTGTAACCCCAAATGAGAAGAAACTTTAGCCCAGGCGGAGGCATCAGCCCTTCAAAAACATCCAAATGAGAACTATCTTCTCCGTGCAAGTCATTGTCAAAACTCCAGTTCAGACGCAATCCCTCAAGATGCCTTTTCTGATGGAGCTTCGACTCTAAGGCTTCGACTTTTCCAGTGGCATTCTCAAGATTTGTGATACTTAAGATGCCACCAAGATTATTAATGTCCCTCAGCTGTCCCAAACCATATCCCTTCAGCCTAAGCACACTAAATTTTTGAAGTTCCTGTAGTGAAATTAGCTTGCCCATGTAAGGAATCGGAGGGGCCCCATCTTCAACTGGATAACCATAGTATTCATCAAGATATGCTCCCAGATGCTGTAGGTTACTTAAATTGCAAATTTTATCAGGCAGGCTCTTAACTTTGAAATTGAAGAGAAGTATCTGTAAGTGGTAGAGAGTGGACAATGACCCAGGCAGTTCAGAAATTGAAGTTCTAATGAGGTTCAAATACCGAAGATGCTTCAGATCAGCAACAGATTGAGGTAACTTCCTTCCATCATAAGAGCACAAATACAATACACGTAATTTCTTCAAATTCTGCAGTACCTCATGGAAAATATCACTTACATTATCTACAAGGGGGTCGATGCAGATAACAGTGCGTAAATTTTGAATCTTGCAGATACTTTGCTTGTGCTTTTTCATACTCTCTACACGATCAGATAAATGTCGAATAGCACATGGTATTTCTGTCACATTATCATCTTCTAGTCTGAAGCAGTCCTCTCTAGACAGCTCCTCTGCCAAGTCATGTAGGAGATCATGTACAGCATACAATCTTGTACCATATAAACTTTCAGAAGTTTGAAAGAACGAACAAGAGACCATCTCATTGATGTAATCCCTTCCAATATCGTCCATTCTCTTATCTTGGTTGCGTGAATCAACAAGTCCCTCTGCTATCCATAGATAAAGCAACTCCTCAACTGAATACTTGTGGCCTTTTGGAAATAAGCTGCAATACAGAAAGCACCTCTGGTGGCGTGGATCTAACTTCTCATAACTCCACAATAGAGCTCTCCTGGGTCCGCTTAAGTTTTAGAGCATCTTTCCATGTGGTGAGATCTTTATTCCTGCTTAACTGAGAACCCAGAACTTGTGCTGCCAAAGGAGATTGTCCAAGCTGTTTAGCAATCTTCACTGCAATCCCATCTAGCTCTGCACGCAGCTGCTCATCTCTGATTTCTGCTCCTGAGAAGGAATGGTATTTGAAAAGTTTCAGGAATTCCGTGTCTTCCATGCTTTCCAAATGAACCACATGTTTACAACAAAGAGCAACAGGAAATGTATCCCGTCGAGAAGTAACCAAAACTTTGCTGCCCACCCGCTGAGAAACTAGAGGAGCTAGAAGTTGCTGCCATTCTATCTCATCTGCGGATTCTTGAAACCAGACATCATCCAAGACAAGGAGGAATTTCTCTGACTGTTGCAGCATGTCACTTAATTTGCACTGAAGAGTATCAAGATTATCGACACGTGGGCATTCTCCCTTTGCAGCAGACTCAATGATCTCTCGTGTATGAGCACGGACATCCAGCTTGCGGGAGATGCAGACCCACATCCTGACATCAAAATGTTTCTTCACCCTGTGATACGGCGTTGCCGCCGTGGAGTACGCAGAGGAGATTGGAGGAGTAGGCTGGACTGGGAATTGGAACGGAGGGGATAGCGAGGCAAAGGTGCAGTGGGGAAGTCGCCGGCGGCAGCGGCAGAAGCGTGCGCAGCCACCGTCGAAGAGGAACCCCACCTGCACGGTAGAGTTCTATTCTTCTTCGATAAAATCCTTACATCTCTAAAGAGCCACCTTTATAGTCCAGGTGGTTTCCTAACAAACCATAGCTTATAGATCCTAAAAATCCTCCTGACTTATTGACTTGCTAAACAAATAAAGGCGCCTTAGCCACTACTGGCTGCAGCACGCCTGACCCTACGCCGGTATTGCCGGCCTATGAAGGAATCTACAACATTTCCCTCCTCCCCAACAAACAGCTCGTCCGCGAGCTGGAATGCCGGATATTGCTCTTTGAAATATGCAATTGGTTCCCATGTAGCATCAGCAGCGGAGCAACCAGTCCACTGCACCAAGAGTTCCTAGCGATCCCTGTTCAGAGCTCGAACCACCTGTGATGGAGTAGGTACCACGACCCGAAGAATGACTGGCAGAGGCACAATGGCAGCAAGCGGTTCACCCTCGAACTTCTTCAACAAAGCAACATGGAAAACGTCATGTATGCGGGCATGGCTGTAAACGATAGGCAACAGCCCCAAGCCGCTCAATGATTTGATATGGCCCAAAGTAGCGCGGTCTAAGCTTGGAAGGGGAGGCAGCCGTGATGCCAACTGCAGTCCGCTGCTGAAGGCGGAGCAGGACCCAGTCGCCCATAGCAAACTCCAGATGGCGGTGTTTCTGGTTGTGGTGCTCTCTCTCATGGTGTCTGGGCCAAAATAAGACGCTCCGGATCTCAGCCAAGAAGATATCACGATCCTGCGCAATTGTCGATCAGCAGCCACGCCGAGCCGCTCGGTGTGTAAGATATCAAGGCTGGGGCGGCCGACCATAGACAACCTCAAGCGGCGTGGCGAAGAAGGGCGGACTGGAATGAAGTATTAAAGCAAAATTCCGCCCAAGGAAGCCACTCGCAGCCGTGAACGTGGCGATCACCGGCGAGACACACGAGGTACATGACAATGATGCGATTGGTGACCTCGATTGTCCGTCTGTCTCGTGGGTGAAAAGCTGAAGCTGCGCGCGAAGAGCTTGACGCCGGCCGCTTGAACAATTCTTCCCAAAATTGGTGGTGAAAACTGTCGCGCGATCACGACAATGGAGCACGGAAACCATGTGAGCGGACAATATTGTCGAAGAACACCGAGCCACGGATTTGTGCGGAGTAGGGGTGTTGAGTGCCACGAAGTGAGCCATCTTAGAGAAGCGATCGACGATAGTCAATATGACGGACTTGCCTCCAACCCGTGGAAAGCCCTCCACAAAATCCATAGCAATGTCACTCCAAACATGGCTTGGCACCGGCAAGGGTTGGAGAAGGCCGGTTGGGTGTAGGTGCTCTGTTTTGTTCCTCTGGCAGATGGCACACCCACGCACAAAATCACGGACCGAGCGATGGTTCTTTGCTTTGTTGTAGAACGAAGCTCGCAGCCGGTGGAGAGTTTTCTGGACACCCTCATGGCCAGCCCCATGAGCATCACGGCATTGCGGCCACACAAGGTAGAACCCTCCGGAGCGAAGATACGGTTGTTGTATAAAGAAGAGCCATCAACCACCCGACCATCCGTATTTATTCCGGCGAAACAAGTTGTTGTCGAAGGTTACGGGCTCTTGTATCATCCTGCATTTCGGCACACGAAGGCATCGTAGTTGGTGAAGAGTGGCCGGAAAGAGCCAAAACCGCGCGCTTCCTCGTCACGGCGAGACAGACGGTAGCGTTCAAGAATAATGATGTTGAACTTGCGGTAGCGGTACTCAACCGTGAGGTCATACCTAAATAGCTTGGACACCCACGTGTCTTTGGGAATAGTCGTGAGACGCTGGTCGAGGAGGAACTTGAGGCTCTCTAGTGGTCGGTGCGGACGACAAGAACGCACGTCCCTAGAGATAAGGCCGCCAATGATGGATAGCCTTGACCAGCCCAATGAGCTCGCGCTCATAAGTTTGGCAACTTAGCGTGGTGAGGAGCAACCGCCGCCGGTGAAAAATGCAATAGCGCCGTCGCCTTGGTGAAAGACCTGGCGTAAACCCAGCGTCGGACGCATCACGATCCACAAGAAACCGCTTGGTGAAGTCCGGAAGTGAAGGAGAGGCGCGGTGATGATTGCGCAGATCTTGAGGGCGATGAAAGCCGCCTGGGCGTCGCCGTCCATGTGAATGCCTCCCGTTTGAGGAGGCGGTCGGTAATGGCCGCAACACCGCCCGTACCAATGATGAACTTTCGGTAATAACCGGTGAGGCCGAGGAACCCGCGCAGTGCGCGTACCGAACGGGGTTGTGGCCACGCCTCCACTGCAGCGACCTTTTCAGCATCCATGGCGACCCCTTGTGCGGAGATGATGTGACCGAGGTAAGCCACTAATGATTCGCCGAAGGAACATTTGGAGCGCTTGGCGAAGAGACGATGGTCGCGCATCTGCTGCAGTACAACCTTGACATGTATTAAGTGCTCAGCCCACGAGTGGCTGTAGATGAGAATATCATAAAAAAAACCAAAACAAAGTGGCGAATAAATGGTTTGAGCACATCATTCATGAGCGCCTGGAATGTCGCCAGGGCGTTGGTGAGGCCGAAGGGCATGACAGGAACTCAAAGTGCCCCCGGTGCGTCCGGAAGGCAGTCTTGGCGACGTCGTCCGGGTGCATACGAACCTGATGGTACCCGCTGCGTAAGTCGATCTTGGTGAAGAAGCGGGCACCCTTTAACTCGTCCAGGAGCTCATCCACCACCGGAATCAGAAATTTGTCCTTGACAGTGCAGTCATTGAGGGCGTGGTAGTCGACGTAGAAGCGCCAACTGTCATCATGTTTGCGGACCAGGAGCACCGGGGAGGAAAATGGCGATGTCGACTCCCGGATGATCCCCTAGGCCAGCATGTCGTCGCACTGCCGCTCGATCTCATCCTTGAGGAGCTGCGGGTACCGATATGGGCGCACCGCCACCGGTGGAGAACCCGGTAGGAGATGAATCCGGTGATCATGGCGGCGTGTCGGTGGCAGGCCCCGTGGCTCCTCAAAGATGTCTTGGTAGGACTGCAACAGCTGCTCCAAAACAGCACGGGGATCAGCGACAGTGTGAGCCGCCAACCCCTTACTGCCAAGGCCAGTCCAGTGATGGGAGCGCCCGTTGTGCCAAAAAGACATCGCCAGGGCAGCAAAGTCCCAGACGATGGGCCCCAACGTCCAAAGCCACTGGACGCCAAGGACCAAGTCGAAACCGCCCAAGTCGAGCGCGAAGCAGTCGATGGAGAAGGCCTCGCCGCCGATGGTGACCGGTGTAGCAAGGCAGACGCCCGGGCTGCACACCCGGTCGCCGTTGGCCACCATGACGTTAAGGCCAGCACACGGGGTCACCGTGAGACCAAGGCGCTGGGCGAGCGTGGAGTGGATGAACGTGTGGGTGGAGCCGGTGTCCACCAGCGCCCGTAGATGAACGCCGCCCACTGTGACCTGCAGCAGCATAGAGTCAGTGGAGTTGAGGCCGGTGAGCGCGTGGAGGGAGATCTCCACGTCGTTGATCTCGCTAAGGGGGTCGTCCGCGCCATTCGCCAAGTCCATGAGGAAGACGCCCTTGGTAGCACACTTGTGGTCCTTGCTGTACGACTCCCGGCAAAAATAGCACTGCCCACTCTGATGCTTCTCCTGCATCTCCGCAGGTGTGAGGCGGCGAAAGCGCGGTCGTGGCCCATCTGGCTTGCCGTCCTGCACCGCAGCGTCGGAGGCAGTAGTGGCGACCGATGCAATGGCACGGCAGCCAGAGCCTTTAGGCGCCGCCGAGCTGTTGACAGTAGAGGCCTCCGCGTGGCGTTGCTCGTACGCCCGCGTGAGGCTCATGGCTTGCTGTAGGTTGACGGGGCGCTGCATCTCGGCATCGGCGGCCAACGGCTGGCCTAACCCGCCCATGTACAGATCAATCACCGTCCTCGTGGCGAGGTTGTCACAGCGTGCGAGCAGGGCCAGGAACCGCCGCGAGTAGTCCTCAACGGTGCCCGTGCGGACCAAGGCCTTGATCTCGGCCATGGAGTTGGTGCGGATCGGCGGCCTGAAGCGAAGGTTGACGAAGTCGACGAAGCGCGGCCATGGGACCATGCCGAAGTCACGCTCCATCTGGTAGTACCATTCCGCCGCAGTGCCGTCGAGGTGCAAAGACGCCATCCACACCTTCTCATCTTCTGGGACACGATGACCGCGGAAGAAGTTGTCGCATTTGTTGAGCCAGGTCAGAGGATCCGTCTCGCCGTTGAAGGCCGGAAAGGGAATTTTGGGCGGTCTGTGCTGCTCACATTGTCGATCGAAGAAACGGTCTCCACCGCGGCTTCGCCAACAACCGCCGCGCCCCTAGCCCCACCACCAGCCGCCGCCGCCATCGCTGCACCTTCCCCCGCTTCGTCCGTTGCATCTTGCGCAGACACCATGGGAGATGACCTCAAAGCCTCCCTCGAGGCGCTCACCAAATCCGTCGCCCTAATGTAGAAATCGATCGAGGCTAATGCCCAAGCGATCGCCGACCTCACCATCGCTGGTTCGTCCGCGTCCGACGCGCGACCAGGATCCGGGGGCGAGCACCATCAAGACCGATCGCCCAAGCACTGGCGGCAAGAATTCCCGCGCTACGACGGCAAGAGCGACCCGCTGGTATTCCTCAACCAGTGCGAGTCCTTCACGCAACAGCGGATCATGCCGGAAGAAAGGACATGGATGGCGTCCTACAACCTCTAGGAGGGGGCGCAACTGTGGTACATGCAAGTGCAGACGGACGAGGGGACGCCGCCGTGGCCGCGTTTCAAGGAGCTGCTTAATCTCCGCTTCGGGCCGCTGCTACGCTCGGCTCCCCTA